GGGGGTGCCACCCCCCGGGGGCCCCCTGATAGCAGCTGTAAGGGTCGCGCGGTGTCCCTTACAGCTGCTATCAGGAGCCGCGTGCCCGGATCCAGCAGCGCCAGCCCCATGGCACTGGACAGCAGCGCCCTTGCCCCCACGACTGTGGGGCCCTGCATGGCCCGGCGCACGTGCCAGCAGCGCTGGCTGGGCTGGGCAGTGCATGCGCTGTGCGCCCCGGGGGCAGGCCCTGGGCTGCGCGCCCGAGACCTTGACCGGCACGCACATGCGCCCTGCACCCAGGGGCGGCGCCACACGCTGGGCCCAGGGCTCCAAAAGGGCTCGGGCCGGCCCAGTCCTCGGGAAATAGTTTTTTCTAATAGCCAACGTAGACCTCCCCCACTGCAACGTGAGATTGTTGCTTCTCGTTCTTTCAGAAAAGAAAATCTAGTGGAGGCCTGCAGGAATAGACAATAACCAAGTCTGAGCCAGGAGGGGACAGAGAAACAGGAGAAGTAGGAGGGGAGAGAGGACCCAGTTCCGGTAGCAGCACAGGTCGGGTTTGGCCTGGTCCCTACTTCTGTGTATTCCCCCTCTGCTAGGGGAGGGTGCTGTGCTGGGGAACCACGTCAGGTTTCAGGGGTCTCCGTGGGCTTAGTCCTGGTGGCAGGGGCTGGGTGTGCACAGCTGTGGCTGAGCACGGGCGTGGGAGTCTGGCCTGGCTCGGTGGAGAAAGCACCGGTGAGACTCGTGATGGGAAATGGCCTAAAGTCTGTTCTGAACTCATCTCCTGTCACCTTCTCTTCCTGACAGGCTGCAGAATTACATCCATGTGTCCCTCCCTCTTCTCCCAGCCTGGCCAGGGAAGGGAGAGGCTTTGTGGAGAAAGCACCGGTGAGACTCGTGATGGGAAATGGCCTAAAGTCTGTTCTGAACTCATCTCCTGTCACCTTCTCTTCCTGACAGGCTGCAGAATTACATCCATGTGTCCCTCCCTCTTCTCCCAGCCTGGCCAGGGAAGGGAGATGGCGGCGGCCGAGCTGGCTCAGGTAGGGGTGCTGAGGAAATGCTGGTGGGTTCCTGCAGAAGCGAGCGGGACAGTGAACACACAGGGAGTGGAGCGACTGGGGAGGGTGGTCGGAGGCTGGGAGGGTGCAGGAAGGAGGGGATGAGGGGGACGAGGTGTGATGAACCTGCTGGGTCATGGTATGTCTGGGGCCCAGAGGTTAGGACTAGACCCTTGGAGGTTAAGTGGAGGCCTCATCCCCTGACATCCAGCTGCTGGCAAGGGGGAGGGTGTTGGATTTCCCACAAGGGGGCTCTCCCTGGACCCTGCTGGGGGCTCCATCTGCCTCTGGCAAATCAGTGTGTAATGGGAGTGAAATGGGATCTCTCTGTCTCCCCTCACGCTGGTGCTTCCTGGATGTGCTGAGCAGGTTGTGGCTGGGGCTCTAGTGACAGTGCCTGTTCCTACAGAAAAAGCGGGGCTGTGAGTGGGGCAGCAGGCAGGCCTGCCCAAAGGGTGTGCGGGGCCCAAGGCAGCAGGCTGAGCTGCACAGCCAGGTGGCTCCCAGCTGAGTTGGCAGGGCCGAGAGGTGAGCAGCGCGGGGCCCTGAATGCGTGGAGCTGCGAGGCCCTGAATATGCGGGGCCCAAGGAGACCGCCTCGCTCGCCTAGCCCAAAGGTCGGGCCTGGCAGCAGGTGCTGAGTGTTGGGCTTTTTCCCTCTCAGGGGCTGGTGACCTTTGAGGAGGTGGCTGTGCATTTCACCAGGGCCGAGTGGGCTCTGCTGGACCCCGCTCAGAGAGCCCTCTACAGAGCCGTCATGCAGGAGAACTACGAGAACGTGACCTCGCTGGGTGAGTATTCCTGTCTCTCGGGCATTAGAAGGGGAAATGAAGCGATCAGGTTCATGTCATGCCCACAATGTACCCTTAACTCTGCCCTGTCTCAGCATCACCCCAACGTGTCCATGGCACACACAATAGCGCTCTGCCCACCCCGCTACAGAATACTCTGGGAACAGGGGACAGGAGCAGCATAGCACAAAGTCTGACAACATCTCTGTGCTAAGGCAGAACTTGGGTTTGGGTCGAGTGTTGCGATCAGAGCTTCAAACGCCTGGCCTGCGCCTGGCTACCCCGCTCTGACCATCTCAGTATTACCAGGGCTTTGCCCTTCCCCAAGGATTCCTTCGGCGTCATTGCGTTCACGTGCCCCTTTCCAAGCCCTGGAGGCGGCTAGCGTGTGTGCCCCCAGCAGGCCGACGGTGCTCTGAGGCAGCCTATAGCACTCAGTGCCGGACTGAAACATACATGGGCCTTCAAGCTTCACGTGCCCCTCCCTTCAAAGTACAGTCACAGCTCTGGCACGCTGCTCCCCTATCTAGTGACGCTGCAGCTGAGCCAGTGCGCACAGCTGGAGGGCCTGCTGATCAATGCTGGTCTGCCCAGCTGTGGAACAGTGGCGCACAAACAACAGCACACTTTCCAGGCTGTCCTTACACACACACAGCTGCGGAGGGCGTCCGAAATTTTGGGGCACTGCTGGTTCTTAATGTGAACCCACCCGCCTCTTCCTGTCCTTGTTGCGTGGCTCTGCTTCCTCCAGGGAGGGTCTAGTTAAAGTGGAAGTGCCAAAGCCGGCCGGAGCTACGAGCAGAACCCGTGAAAGAGCCATTCCAGTGGGAATGAAGCCATTTACGGGCAGTGGCCAACCCCAGGTAGAGCCTGTCAGTTGTATATACATCTTTTGTGTTAGGTGCTACAGAACCACTCGTTTTTTAAGTTCTGTTAGGTTACAGACTAACGGCTACCCCTCCGAGACTGATGAATTCATTATGTTAGTTGACAGGATCTTAGTTTAAAATTTGCATTAAAAATATTTCATTAGTGTGTTGCTGAAGATCATAAAATCCCATCTCTAGAAAATTGCCCCCTCTCCCCTCTCCCGGGCTGCTGTTAGGCAGAGGGGCACCAGTTTAATAGTAATGCATAGAGCCCCATAAATCCTAAGGGTGGCCCTGAGCATTCTCTTGTCTCTTCTTCCTATCTGTTATAGATTCATTGATTTTGTGACCCAACAGGACTATCCGGTCATCTGTTCTGATCTGCGTAAGACAGCAGTGGGCAGCCTAGGCTAGTGAGTGGAATGCAAGACTGTCGTAACCAGGATGGTCTCCCAGGAGAGGGCAGATTTGCTCACTGCGCTTGCATACCTAGAATTTGCCGGGGGAGGGAAGAGGGTGTCGATGGAACCGTAGCAGTGCTGGGATTGGATGTAGAGGCAGCACACGGTTCTCACAGTCAGTGTGTGTGCAGTCAGCAGGCACCTCACTTCATGTGCCCTCGCTTTGTGTGCATGTCACTTTAATGAGACCGGTATGAAAAAAACGACATGGTCAGAAAGCAGCGGGATCTGGCAACCCAATGCATGAGCAACGGTACACAAAGCTGCAGGTTGCCCACCATTGATATAAGACCTAAGAATTTCCTCCAGTTACTCTTGTACTGAGCTGGACACCTTGTGATGGACTAAATCATCTTCCAGGAGGGCATCTAGGCTTGACTTGAAGACTCCAAGTGAAGGAGATGCACCCCCTTCCCTTGGTAGCTTGCAACCCCTTCCATCACCCTTACTGAACCACAGTTAGTAGCCAATGCCAGCTCCAAGCATTAGGGGGTAGAGTTACGGTTGTTTTGCAGCAGTGATGGATACTTTCACTGTGGTGAGGTATGGTATTGCCAACCTTACGTCTGTGCTGCTGTTGGTGGTGGCGCTGCCTTCAACAACGTCTGTGCTGCTGTTGGCGGTGGCACTGCCTTCAACCTGGATTCTGGGCTAGCAGATGTCACTCTCGGGCTATCCAGCTCTGAAGGCAATGCAGGAATAAGGGTAGCGATACCACAGCCTCCCTACAGTAGTTTTTCAACCCACCCTATGAGCAGCTTTTGGGTCGGGGCCCTCACGCTTCCACAACCATGAAATTCAAGGTTTCGATACCGGAGTGAACAATTCAAGGTTTTTAAGATGAGATGGCTATGAAATATGGTGGCTGTGAAATTTACCAACATGAACTGTGAAGTGGTAGGGCCCTAGATACAGGACTAAGAGACTCTTGGGGAAGGGGGGAGGGTGTGTCACCGGGTGGGACAGAGGGGAGGCTCAGAGGGAACTGGCGTTGCCAAGGATCCTAGACTATTATTACCAAGGCCCTACAGAGCCATCGCTGGTGTAGAGGCTACGCCCCACTCATATTACTGTCCCTTTCACTTTATCTGCATTTTCACACATGATCATTTTCACTCTGTTTTCTCCAGTGCGCAGTGCCCACCCTTCCACCACACTGGCTTCTTCTCGGCCTACTGTGGCTCCAGCCACCGTTTCTCAGGCCTCCCATCCCCCCATCTGCCAGATGGCCCCTTCTCTGGCAACAAGCGAGTGTTCTTGGCAATATCTTAGGTTGGGAGTGATTCTGGGGGCTTAGAAGATGGCCCTTCCGCCACCCTATCTGCAGCAGCCTCAGTCTCTCCTGGCTCTTTGAGTCAGTCCTGCCTGTGATCACAGGGCTCCATTCCTATTTTTCATATTCTCTTTTTTCAGAGGAGCTAGAGTAAGTTGCCCCCAGAAACAACGGGCTTATATTGCAGCCAGGGAGGTTTAGGGTGGACATCAGGAAAACTTCCTAACTGACAGGGCAGCTAAACACTGGAATAAATTGCCAAGGGGGGTTGTGGAAGCTCCATTATTGGAGATCTTGAAGAGCAGCTTAGAGACACACCTGTCAGGGATGGTCTAGGTAGCACTTGATCCTGTCATGAGGGCAGGGGACTGGACTTGATGGTCTCTCAAGGTCCCTTCCAATTCTATGGTTCTATGAATTACAGCTTCTAATTCCCCAACTTTCTTCATGCTCCTGGGGGATTTTCACGCTCCTTCCTGACTTGCTAGCATCCCTGATTCCATGGGTGGCATGTGAACCATCAGCTTGGGGAGGCTCGCCCTTGGCCCAGACTGCTCCTTCTGTCTGAGATTGCATTCCCCTCCCCCACCAGAGCCCTGAGGACTAATGTTTCCTCTAATCTTTTCCCTCCATGTGCAGAATAAATGTTTATGTGCACCAAGGCACGTGTGAATGTGCACCACCTGTAGACACACATACCCAGCTGTGAGTGCTCTGCTCATCAGCTGGGTGGCACTGAATCTCTCTGGAGCAGCTGCATAAGCACCCAGCTTACAGGGAACACGGCAGAGGATCCACGGCCCTTGCTTCCCTCCTCACTGTGGATCATTCAAGATGCTCGGTGGGCAGGCTGTGCCGCTCTCAGTGCACCCAGACCTGGAGTGCTGGGAAGCATGAGCCCTGCCTTCAGCCACCTTGAATCCCTGGCTACAATGCAGCCCCCCCCACCCCTCCCCCACTCTAACTCTGCTCACAGCTACTAGCTTCGCTGTAACTCTCTCTCAGAAAGAAGCGGGAGGTTTCCTTGCTGGCTGCCATCTTCCCTTTCTGCCGTCATCGTGTTTTAGCGCCCGCTTTTGAAGACTATTGTCGGGCAGCGTGTTTTCCCAGTGGAGATGGGGTTCGTTTAGGGATGTTAGGTAGCGTGTAATTGAATAATTGTGTGACTGCATCAATTTTAGCAGTTACACAGCTATTCAGTTGTCCCCAGGGGCAGGGCCGGCAGCCATTGCGTTCCTGGCCCCACTTCTGGGGAGGCCCCTGCCACCCTGCACGGTTGCCTCTGTATCAGGGACAGAGGTGCAGCGTGGTAGGCAGGAGCCAGTGCACTGGGAGAGCCATTTTAAAAACCAGCCCCCCATGCAGACAGATTTCTGCCTGCTGCTCCCTGTTGCTGTCTCTGATAGCGAGGCAACAATGCGGGGTGGCAGCAGCCCCTGTCTGCAGGGAGCTCAGATCCCATGGATAGGGGCTACTTGGTGGCAGCCTGTCTGCCCCCGGCTTTGCTCTGAAACAGGCAGCAGTGCGGGGGACAACTGGCTCCTGTCTGCCCCCACTTCACCTCCCCACTGCCTCTGTAGGAGGCAACAAGAGGAGGGACTGGAGAGGCTGTGGAGCCAGCTTCAACTCCAGCTCCCCGTGCGTATTGGCTCCCACCTGCTCCCTGCCCTTGATGCTGCTGCCTTTCTGTGAGAGGTAGCAGCATGGAGGTGGGGGGTAGGAGGATCCGGTGCTCAGAAATAAGGGGGGGGAATGTGAGTAGTCGACAGGATTAACCAATAAACCCAGGCTTATCAGTTAATTATGTAGTCATCTACACGGTGATATCCCTAGGTTCATGATATCCATCTTTTCCCATGTTTGAGCCTATGGGGAGCTTGCTTTCTGCGACTTCAAACTAGGCTTGGGTGAAAAGAATAGATTTTTTTTGTTTGTTTTTTTGGTGATAAATCTCCATCTGATTTCCTTTCCCCTGTGCAGAGTTTCCAGTTTTCAAGGCTGACGTGGTTGCCCATTTGAAGCAAGAGAGTGAGAAGTGGACCCCAGAGATCCAAGATTCAGATGAAAGGTTTACAGACCCCTGCAAAGGTGCGGTATCATGAAATCAGCTCTGTTACATTCTGTACTTCTGGGGTACCCTGTATCTCCCACGTTCCTTATTTGCTATATATGTTAGAGTTTGTATGTCTGTTTGCTCAAGAATTTGTTCTAAATGGTAAAAGCTAGGGCCACCAAATTCAGTATACAGCTTCCTATGATCATAACTTAAAGGTAGATCGGGTTTGGTTTGTGCCAGGAAAATGGGATGTGCCTGGAATGAGATTGCTCCTCATAAAACCAAACAGAAAACAGACCAAGTACAATCCTGAAAACTGACATCACTGATGAAACATTGAAAGAGACTGACTTAAGATGAGCCCAAAACATGGGATGAATGTGGAATAAAATTGTTTCTCAATAAACCTTCTAGAAAAGTGATAAACCAGAGAAAACTGGAGCAGTGCTGTTTTGACACAGTTACATCAGTGCTTAAGGTTTGAAACTTAGAAGAAAATGTTATTGGTAACCAAATTAACTATAGCCATATTTCTTAAAACTTGGCAAATGATAAGAGTTTATAGGGATGAAGAAACAAAATACACTTGATGGAATTCCTGAATTACAGACCTGAGAAAGCCAGGTAAATCGGCTAGATTGTATTTAATTGTGATATTGCTCATAGAGCAGGCCATGTGAGTTATTGTGGGAAAGATTGTGATATGCTAGATATCAGAGTCAAGTACCTGAAAGGGTGTTACAAGGAGGAGAGAGAAAAATTATTCTCCTTAATCTCAAATAATAGGACAAGAAGCAATGGGCTTAAATTGCAGCAAAGGAGGTTTAGGTTGGACACTAGGAAAAACTTCCTGCCTGTCAGGGTGGTTAAACACTGGAATAAATTGCCTCGGAGGGCTGTGGAATGAATCTCCATTATTGGAGATATTGAAGAGCAGCTTAGAGACACACATGTCAGGGATGGTCTAGCTAGCACTTGATCCTTTCATGAGGGCAGGGGACTGGTCTTAATGCCCTCTCAAGATCCCTTCCAGTTCTATGGTTCTATGAATTACACAATCTAATTCCCCAACCTTCTCCATGCTCCTGGGGGATTTTCACGCTCCTGCCTGACTTGCTAGCGACCCTGATTCCATGGGTGTCATGTGAGCCATCAGCTTTGGGAGGCTCGCCTTTGGCCCAAACCGCTCCTTCTGTCTGAGATTGCATTCCCCTCCCCCACCAGAGCCCTGAGGACTAATGTTCCCTCTAATCTTTTCCCTCCATGTGCAGAATAAATGTTTATGTGCACCAAGGCACATGTGAATGTGCACCACCTATAGACACACATACCTAGCTGTGAGTGCTTTGCTCATCAGCTGGGTGGCACTGGAATCTCTCCAGGATAGCTGCACAAGCACTCAGCTTACAGGGAACACTGCTGAAAATCCACGGCTCTTGGCCCCGCCAGCCACGTTGTAGATCACCCAAGGTGCTAGGTGGGCAGGATGACCCCAGCGCCTGGTGGGCAGACTGTGCCACCCTCAGTGCACCCAGACCTGGAGAGCTGGGAAGCATGAATCCTGCTTCCAGCCACCTAGAATCCCTTGCTACAATGCAGCCCCCCCTACTCTAACTCTGTTCAGAGTTCCTAGCTTCCCTGTAACACTCTCTCAGAAAGAAGCGGGTGGTTTCCTTGCTAGCTGCCATCTTCCCTTTCTGTCGTTGCTGTGTTTTGGCCCCCCCATCCTTTGAAGACGATTGTTGGGTGGTGTGTTTTCCCAGTGGAGATGGGGTTCATTACATCCCTCTTTCTTCATGTTTGAGAATCATGTTTGAGCTCACTTACCGCAACTTGAAAATAGGCCTGGGTGAAAAGAAGAGATTTTTTTCTGTGACAAATCTCCACCTGATTTCCTTTCCCAGTTTTCAAGACTGATGTGATCGCCCTTTTGAAGCCAGAGAATGAAACATGGGCTCCAGAGATCCATGAGTCAGAGGAAGGAGAATGGTTCAAAGGTGCCTGCGCAGGTGAGGTATCATGAAATTAATTGTGTAACATTCTGTACTTCTGGGGTGCCCTATAACCCCCACATTCCTTCTTTACTATATGGCTGTGTCTAGACTGGCCACTTTGCTTTTCCGGAAAAACTTGCCAGCTGTCTACACTGGCCGCTTGAATTTCCGCAAAAGCACTGACGATCTCATGTAAGATTGGCAGTGTTTTTGTGGAAATACTATTCTGCTCCCATTCGGGCAAAAGTCTTTTTCCAAAAAACTTTTGCACAAAAGGGCCATTGTAGACAGCAGAGATTTGTTTTCCGCAAAAAAGCCCCGATCGCGAAAATGGCGATCGGGGCTTTTTTGCGGAAAAGCGCGTCTAGACTGGCCACGGATGCTTTTCCACAAAAAGTGCTTTTGCGGAAAAGCGTCCTGTCAATCTAGACGCGCTTTTCCGAAAATGCTTTTAACGGAAAACTTTTCCGTTAAAAGCATCTCCGGAAAATCATGCCAGTCTAGACGTAGCCTATATGTTAGAGTTTGTCTGTCTGTCTGTTCAACAACTTGTCCTAAACAGTAAGAGCTAGGTATCCAGCTTCCTCTGATCATAGCTTAAAGCTAAGTAATGGTTTGGTTGTGCCAGGAAAATGGGATGTGCATGGAATAGGACTGCTTCTCATAAAATCAAACTGAAAACAGACCAAATCAAGTACATCATTGGGCAAATGTTGAAAGAGACTAAACCAAGATGACCCAGAAACATAGGATGAACCAGGAATAGGATTGCTTCTCAATAAACCTTCCAGAAAAGAGAAAACACTGAGAAATTTGGAGCAATGCTCTGTTTTGGTACAGCTAAATCAATGCTTAAGATTTGAAACCTAGAAGTAAATGTTATTGAAAACTAAATTGATTATTGCCATATTTGTTAAAATGTAGCAAACAATAAAATTTTATAAGGATGAAGAAACAAAATACACTTGATAGAATTCCTGAATTATGGACCTGAGGAAAACCGGGTAAATCTGCTAGTTTGTTTGTAATAATTCCTACAGAGCAGGCCATGCGAGGCATTGTGCTGAAAGTCAAAGTCAAGTACCTAATAGCATGTCACAAGGAAGATAGAGAAAAATTGTTCTCCTTAATCTCAGATAATAGGACAAGAAGCAATGGGCTTAAATTACAGCAAGGGAGGTTTAGGTTGGACAGTAGGAAAAGCTTTCAGACTTTCAGGGTAATCAAACACTAAATTGTCTAAGGGGGTTGTGGAATCTCCATCTTTGGAGATATTTGAGAGCAGGTTAGACAAAGACCTTTCAGGGATGAATCTCTCCTCAGAGATTGATATGTTGACCAGCTGGTTAGCAGAATGTTCCAGCTAGGTTTTTGTTTCTACTGGTGATGCACATTTCACATGTTGGTGCACATAAAATGTATTCTGCACAAAAATAGAATTCTTCCTCATGTGGATGGATGAATTTAAAGTGAACATTGGTTGAAAGTTTAAACTTTTTGCCTATTGTTTATAATCACTTATAAGTTGTTTATAATCACTTATAACCACTCAAAATCTACCTTTGATAGTCACACTTGTCCATTTATCTTTACCAGCACATTTGCTAGAAGTGTTTTCGGTATGCCCAGGTTTACAAAGGATATTGTATATTTGTTTTCAATTTATGAAGTTACAAATCAGTTAATACATTTGCGCTGCTCATCTTGAAGCAAGAGAATGAGACATGGACTCCACAGATCCATGATTCACAGGAGTGCAATACGATATATTCTGCAGTACAAGGCCAGGAATTGAAGGGGGGGGGGGAAATGGTAGGTGCCTTTTCTCCGGGATATCCAAGCAGAATTGATCCCTTTTTCCTGTGGGAAAGAATGTGGGGAAATTCAATCATTGATTATTTTCCATCTCTCCAACTGTAACTTTGTTTGCTTTTCCCTTTTCCAAGCCTGTGTCTGAGGTTTTTCTCTCTGTCCCAGCAGGTAATGGGGCAATGAATGAGACCGAAGAGAAAAAACCTCCCCGGGAAGATGATGAGTATGTGGAACCATGTGGGACTTTATTGCGAATGTGCCAAGAGGATGTCTTCAGCAGTCACGCATCAGGAAAAGGCTGTGAGAGTCCGCACAGGCCAGAGAGGAGCCAGGGAAACAAGCCAGGGGAGATACCGAATAGCTCCATTCATTGTTGGGAACCTCACATGAACCTTGAGGAAACCACAGCCCAGCAGAAAAGTCACACAGGAGAGAGAAACAACATATGCAATGACTGTGGGAAAAACTTCAGTAGACGCTCAGACCTTATTAAACATCAGAGGATCCACACTGGGGAAAAACCCTTTGAGTGCTGTGAGTGTGGGAAAAGCTTCACTCGCAGCTCCAACCTCAATACACATCAGAGGGTTCACACTGGCGAGAGACCTTACGAGTGTTGTGAGTGTGGGAAAACCTTTGCACGGAGCTCGCACCTTCTTGCACATGAGAGGATCCATACAGGGGAGAGACCCTATGGGTGCCGTGAGTGTGGGAAAAAATTTATTGATAGCTCAAAGCTTAAGAAACATATGAGAATCCACCAGGGAAACCGACGTTACGAATGCTGCGAGTGCGGGAAAATCTTCACTCAGAGTTCAGACCTTTTTGCACATCAGAGGATTCACGCAGGAGAGAGAACCTGTAAGTGTGGGAAAATCTTTGCTCAGAGCTCACACCTTACTAGACACCAGAGGATCCACACAGATTAGAGAGGCTATGGATGCTCCTAGTGTGGGAAGAGCTTCTATCAGAACTCAGTGCTTATTTATCATCAAAATATTCGTGAAGGAAATAAACACTCTAAGAATTTTATCTAGGGCTGGCAGCACTTTTTTTTCATTAATAATTTTTCTTTATTATCTCTCAAAAGCTTTTTGAACTATTTGCATCGTGTGGTCTCTTGGTAGGCTTTCTGCTTTTCTCTTTTATAGCCTGTCCTCCTTTGGAATGAATCCAGAGCTCCTTTTTATCAACTCCTTTATTATATATATATTAGTCTCTAAGGTGCTACAGGACTAATCGTTGTTCTTTTAAGTTATGGTCTAACATGGCTACACCTCTGAGACTATTTTTTTAGACATGGTAGTGTGAGACCCTCCCTCCATGAGCTCCAGGAGACAGGGGTGATCCAAACTAGCTGCACTGAGATAAAGTTTCCTGGGCCACATCTCCACTTGGATTTTCTATGGCCTTAGATAGCTTGATGGAGAACTTCAACTTTATTTGCCTTAAAGACATAGGCAATATATAATGTCTAGCACATTTACTCATAACAACTGAAGTGCTGAATCAGTTTTAATTGTCTAAACAAAACGGGAGAACCTCATGTCTACTGTTTCACCCACTATAAAGTGATTGGTGAAGTCACCAAGCTCTCTGCTCTGGGCACAAATTCCCTCCTTCCCATTTGTTCTCAGAGTGCTGTGGTTTGTGCTGAACATCAAGATTTTTTGGTACCATTTTCTCACTGAAAATATATTTAATTGTAGTAAATTCTGTGGCATCCAAAGACAATGTGATGTTTTTTGGGGGGATTCCTTCCTTTCCCGGCATCTCTCATCTTGTGCAGCGGAAGACAGGATATTCTTGCAGTACTAGGCTGGGAGCTGAGATTTGGCTGGTGCCTTTTCTCGGTGTGGTTCATGAATTGTTCTGGGAGCATTCGTGCAATCTAGCCAGGTGTGGGGCTCCATATGTGGTGTACTGAGTGTTCACACTTCCCAGCGGGGTTTGCTACTTGTCACTAGCAAAGCTTTGTGAGAGTCAGCCCTGGCTGGAGTTTTAAGGGGCACAGAGGTGCCACAGTCCTAGAGACCCAGTCATAAATTCAAGCCTGTCAGAGTCAGAAGAAAACAGCTGGGATTCCCAGCAAAGACCTCATGGGTTCTTTGAGATCAGGGTTCGTATCCTCTGGGAAGTCGCTCATGACTTCCTGCCCATCCCTACACCTGGAAGCAGCTCCTCCTTGACTTCCCTTCTGCCTGAGTGTTTGGATGGGATATCTAGGCCAAACTGATCTGTTTACTCCAGGAAAGACTGTGGGGAAATTCAGTCAGTCCCAGATTATTTTTCATCTTTCCAGCTCTAACTTTGTTTTGTTTTTCCTTTTTCCATGTCTCTTTCTGAGGTTTCTCTCTGTGTCCCAGCAGGTGATGGGGTGATGAATGAGACTGAAGAGAAGAAACCTCCCCAGGAAAATAAGTTTTTGGAACCACGTGGGACTTTATTGCAAATATGCCAAGAGGATGTCTCCAGCAGTCATGCACTGGGAAAAGGCTGTGGGAGTCCACAGAGCCCACAGAGGAA